CATTTGGGAGTTGTAGTCGCTGCGGTTTATTGTTCACCTCCAATTAAAGAGCATTCTGAACTCCACCCATGATTGAATTGAACCAAACTTGGCACACAGAAGTCCCATGACAAACAGAAAATATTGGGTTTTCTGATGGCCTTTGGTGACCCCTCTGACACCGCCTTGTAATCCCCCCCCAGGGGTCCCGACCCCCAGGTTGAGAAACACTGGAATAGGTATTGGAGCTAGCTAGCTTACTAAATCTCATCTTCTAAGAAAGGTAAAAGGTAAAAAAAACAAAAAAAACAACACAGCTACTTTTTGCCTAGAGAAAGACAAAATGCGTCCTTACTGGAAGAAAAGGCAGAAGAGATTGGAAAATAGTAGACAGCGTGGTCAACCACAGGGAAATAAAAAATACCTTTTAAAAGGAAGTTCCCTCAGAGAATTCCATTGCTACATCATCAAAAGGGGAGGAAACAGTGGCAAGGAAGAAGAGTAAAGACAAAGCCCTATCTGGGAAAACATGTATAGGAATGTGGGGGAAGGAATCCCCCAGCCTAATTCTATCTCTAGCCTAGCTACTCATTGAGGTCTGGAAACTTGATGACACAAGAGACTTGTGCGGTCCAGGGATGAAACTCAACAATTTATATGTTCCTAAGTTTGGGCAAGTGGTTGGGCAAAATAGCACAATTCATTTTCTAAACATTTAGAATCAGAGTTGGAAGAGACTACGTGTTTTCTCCCCATTCCAGTACTTTGTGAATTCTGTCTTACAAAAGCTGCTAACTTTATTTACAAAGCTTTAGGTTATGGATTTCTCAAAAACAGTAGCCACTTAAAAACCTTGGAAAAGTAGTAATAATGATAGAGTAAAATAATAAATGTAAACATAATAAAAAGAATAGAATAACAAATGTAATACTAACAAAAATAGAGTAAAATAATAAATGTAATAACAATAATAGAGTAAAATAACAAATGTAATAACAATAAACAGTAATATAATGTAAATGTAATAATAATAATAGAGTAAAAAAAGAAATGTAATAAAATAATATTAATAGAGTAAAATAATGGAAAGGTAGTAATAACTATAGAGTAACCAGATGTAATAATAATAAAGAGAATAATAATAAATGTAATAATAGAGTAAAATAATAAGTGTAATAACAATAAACAGAGTAAAATAATAAATGTAATAATAATAATAGAGTAAAACAACAAATGTAATAACAATAAACAGAGTAAAATAATGCAAATGTAATAATAATAATAATAGATTAAAAAAGAAATAATATTAATAGAGTAAAATAATGGAATAGTAACAATGATAGAGTAAATAGATGTAATAATAATAATAATAATAATAATAATAATAATAATAAAGAGAAGAATAATAAATGTAACAATAGAGTAAAATAATAAGTGTAATATCAATAAACAGTAAAATAATAAATGTGATAAAAATAATAGAGAAAAATAATAAATGCTATAAAATAACAACAGAGTAAACTAATAAATAACCTTGAGCCGAGGGAAGCTTTTTCAGCCTCAAAAAAAGGGCTGAAAAATTAGGCTTATACTGCAGAGCTATATTTCTCTAGGCTATATATATATACCTGACATATTATAGATTTATTTTTAAACTGTCCAGGATCTTCAGCATATAAGGGATGCCTGAATGACTTCACTGCAACTGACAAGGGAGAGAACAGCAATTGGATGCTGGGAGACTGGGTTCCCATTACATTAAAGTAATGGGAAATGTAGTCATGTCCGACTCTGAGAGGTGGTGCTCATCTCCATTTCTAAGCCAAAGAGCCGGCGTTGTCGATAGACACCTCCAAGGCCTATGCCATTACCTTCCTGCAGAAGCAGTACCTATTGATCTACTCACATTTGCATGTTTTTGAATTGCTAGGTTGGCAGAAGCTGGGGCTGACAGCGGGAATCTGCTCCCCAGATTTGAACCACCAACCTTTCAGTCAGCAAGTTCAGCAGCTCAGCGCTTTAACCCACTGTGCCTTCGCCCCCCCCCCCAATTATGTTATTTAAGGTAAACAAAAAGAACTTGACATAAATGTTCACTTAGTAAACATGGCTACTTTAAAAGCTTACGTTAACAAAATCATTACTTTACTGATATAGATATGGATTGGCGGCTTTCAACTGTGCCTGCTACCTAAATGCAACTACCTCCTAAACAACAGGCATGTTTACTTTGGGTGAGGTATGTTACTGCAGTGAGTGCTCTGCTATTTTACAAGGGTTCAAAGTCTAAATAAACATTGAGAATAGATGGTACCTAAAGAAATTGTGGTTCCGCAAAAGAGGAAGGACAAAGTAAAGCAGTCACTCTGTGGGAGCTAATATTCAGAATGTAGGCAGAAGAAAGCTCAGCTGCGAGGAGTTTGATTCCAACATCCTCCCAATGAGCTTAGGCTGGCTGCAGATGATGGGAATTGAAGTCTAGCAATGTCTGGATAGCCAAGTTTCCCATCTTGCTCTAAAAAAGGACATTGAAACAAGTCGGAATGTGATCCACTGGATCTCAACCTCCTGCAAAGTCCTTGATATAGGATTTTTTTTTCATGTCAGCAGCAACTTGAAAAACTGCAAGTCGCTTCTGGTGTGAGAGAATTGGCCATCTGCAAGGATGTTGCTCAGGGGACATCCAGATGTTTTACCACCCTGTGGGAGGCTTCTCTCATGTCCCCAAAAGGGAAGCTAGAGATGACAGATGGGAGCTCACCCTGCTTCCCGGATTCGAAATGCCAACCTTTCGGTCAGCAGTTCAGCTGGCACTAAGGTTTAACCCATTGCACCACCGGGGGCTCCTTGATGTAGGGTATTCTAAAACTACTGTATAACTCAGGTGCAATCACCTCCTCTCTGTTCAGCAATGAAGGACAGCAAATAAAACATTTGTATTTCAGAGGGAACTACATTGATGTATAATGTAAAATGTACATTAACATAAGCAGTGTGTTCCAAGGGAGCTTAAAAGCTACCATATCCCAGGAAATAGGTGTTGCTTTACTTGGCAATTTCCTGATATATTTGTTGTTGTTCATCCATCCAGTCATTTCCGACTCTTCGTGACCTCACGGACCAGCCGACGCCAGAGCTCCCTGTCGGCCATCACCACCCCCAGCACCTTCAAAGTCAATCCAGTCACTTCAAGGATGCCATCCATCCATCTTGCCCTTGGTCGGTCCCTCTTCTTTATTTCTTCCATTTTCCCCAGCATCATTGTGTTCTCTAAGCTTTCCTGTCTCCTCATGATGTGGCCAAAGTACTTCATCTTGGCCTCTACTATCCTTCCCTCCAATGAGCAGTTGGGATTTATTTCCTGAATTAAAACTGACAATTGTTTCCAAATAAAGGCTCCACTGGTGCCCTGGTGGGGCAGCGGATTAAACCACTGAGATGCAGAACTTGCTGACTGAAAGGTTGGCAGTTCGAATCTGGGGAACGGGGTGAGCTCCCGCTGTTAGGTCCAGCTTCTGCCAACCTAGCAGTTTGAAAACATGCAAGTGTGAGTTGATCAATAGGTACCACTTCTGTAGGAAGGTAGCAGGGCTTCATGCAGTCATGTCAGCCACATGACCTCAGAGTCTTCTATGGACAATGCCGGCTCTTTGGCTTAGAAATGGAGATGAGCACCCCCCCCCCCCCCCGAGTCAGACGCAACTAGATTTAATGGCAGGGGAAACCTTTAACTTTTAAAGGCTCCGCATGCTGGTTGCCATCTAGAGAAACAGCAGTCAAGCAGCTAGCTGGGTTGTTGTAGGTTTTTTCGGGCTATATGGCCATGTTCTAGAGGCATTCTCTCCTGACGTTTCGCCTGCATCTATGGCAAGCATCCTCAGAGGTAGTGAGGTCTGTTGGAACTAGGAAAAAGGGTTTATATGTCTTTGGAATGACCAGGGTGGGACAAAGGACTCTTGTCTGCTGCAGCTAGGTGTTAATGTTTCAACTGACCACCTTGATTAGCATTTGATGGCCTGGCAGTGCCTGGAGGAATCTTTTGTTGAGAGGTGATTAGATGTCCCAGACTGTTTTCCCTGTTGTTTTGCTAGCTTGGTTTTTTTTTTTTTTTGTAACACCATAAGACCACGACTGGGCTCCCTGGTATAAGAAAATAACTTTGCGATCTACTTATCTATTTGGTTTTTTTTGTTGTTGTTGTGTCAGGAGCGATTTGAGAAACTGCAAGTCACTTCTGGTGTGAGAGAATTGGCCATCTGTTGCCCAGGGGACGTCCAGATGTTTTGATGTTTTTACCATCCTTGGGGGAGGCATGTCCCTGCATGAGGAGCTGGAGCTGATAGAGGGAGCTCATTCACGCTCTCCCCGGATTAGAACCTGCGACCTGTCGGTCTTCAGTCCTGCCAGAACAGGGGTTTAACCCACTGCGCCACTGGGGGCTCCATTTATTTGGGTTAGTTAGCTACTTTGAAGTCAAAACTTGACCACGTGTAAAAGAAATGACTTGAAAATGGTCAGAACTCTAAATAAGGTACGAATTAAAAAGAAATGAATATAATAACATGGTGAAACCATCGGTAACTGCGAGGGATGCTCTAGGGCAGGCATGGGCAAACTTTGGCCCCCAGGTATTTTGAACTCTAACTCCCACAATTCCTAGCAGCCAGTAGGCTTTTAGGAATTGTGGGAGTTGACGTCCAAACAACTGAAGGGTAAAGTTTGCCCAAACCTGCTCTAGGGTTCTTAGCATCATCCTACTTCTGCTAACCTCTGGATGGTTGCAGCATACTATTGCAGTCCTTCCCTTCCATAAAGGAGCTATACGAATTGCAAATAGGTTCATGTGGGATTTGGCCAGTACTTTGTGAGGGGAGTTCCCTCACAAAGTACTGGCCAAATCCCACATGAACCTATTTGCAATTCGTATTGCTGCTTTATGCTTGTGGCTGATTTGCATCCCTTCAAGTCCAAGAAACCGATTACAAAACTATGTCTGTTTTTATTATTAAAAGAAGCAGCAGTCCATTTAACAAGAGTGCAAACTGAGATACATTGAAAACCACACTGCATTTCATTTGGACAGCTTTTTCTCCTTTTCCTTTGCTTTCTCAATCTTCTTTTCCTGGCATCTGATCATTGTAGACATTGCTGGAAGTACCATAGGGAGAAAGGTCATTGATACCACACATTAAACAATTCCTGTGCAAAAGGTCATTAATACTACACTGACATCACAACTGCACTATTTCCTTGGAGCAAGATGAAAGCAACAAGATTCTATGGGAGGCATGCATTTATGCACAGCGCAGTCTCCAAAGAGAGGAATGCCTGAAATATTGCAGGTAGAAACGGTTGCTCTTGCAGGCATTTGTATAATCACATAGTTGTATAATCTATTTACAACCCATGGCTTTCCCCAGATCTGGGACTCTGGTGCATGATGCAGTGGTTTGAGCATTGGCCTACCATGCTGCAAACCAGGGATTGAATCCCTGCTCAACCATGAAACCTCTGGATAATAGTCTTGTGCATTTGTATAGGATCGCTATCATTTTCTGTTTGTTTAATTCATATGGCCCTGTTTTCATTTTCAAGCGCTGCTTCCGAAAGCCGTGCCTATCCCAATATATGAAAAAAAAAAAGAATATTTTTGTCCCATTGGTGATAGTGGGTGGGCAATGCTATACAAATACTCCCTGCCCCATAGCCTTAGGGCTACTGCTGTTTCCCACTTCAATTGGGAAACCTAACTTGTGCCACTGCTACTGAGGTCGCTTTACTGGAGATCACTGCCAGTTGCCAGGGCTTGCCCTCTACTGCTTGGCAACTGTTTAGGTCCAAAAAGGTCCTGGCAGGCCCGAACGCTTTGGGCCTACACGTGTGGGTCTGCCAGGACCTGCACCTGAGCGCTGAGTAAGTAGTGCTCTTTACTCGGCGCTCAGTTGCATTCCTGGCAGGCCCACACATGTAGGTCCAAAGTGTGCGGGCCTACCAGGGCCTTTCTGGGCCTGCACGGTTGCCGAGCTGAGGAGGGTAAGCCACCAGCCCTGCACCAAGGATCTCTGATGAAAAGACCTCAGTGCAATCCCTCTTTTTATAACTATGATGCCGAAAAGCGGGATACCCGCTCTCGCTTTTCGTATCGAGTTTATTTTCCTTCTGGGAGAGGGTCTTTCATATTGTGACATTCAAATGGGCAGAATGAAACGTAAACATAAATTAAATGGATGATAAAGACATCGAGCCCATGACTACTGGATAAATCGTATTCTTTCAGCCTCAGAAGAAAGCAAAGGCAACCCCTCTCTGAACACATCTTGCCAAGAAAACCCTATGGAAGCGTCACCTTAGGGTTGCCGTTAGTCAGAAGTGACGTGAAGTTACACAACAACAAACATCTTGGTTCCCGCACAATGATATTTTCTTTTATTAGAAAGAAGTATCAAAGCCTCCCAAACAAAATAAAAATTAAAACCGCAGTTCTGTCTTATTGTTGAGACTCACCTTCAGACTTCTGTATCTTGTTCCTTTTCTATTTCTCCCCTGCTTCATGACCCATTACAAAAGACCCATTCCTATTTGATCATATTTCTTTAGGGCAGTATCCATCCCCAAATGCACAAGCATACACCACATACCTGTGCTAACTTATCCATATGTTTTATCTAATCTTTTTTTTTTTTTTTTGCTTTCTGGAATTTTCCCCACTTTGGGACCATTTATCAGCTTCCTCTCCTTAATTTGGGCTAATCCCCACCTTTTTCCATTCTACTCTCCTTGTGTCTTCTCATTCCATCACACCCCACAACCATCCCTTAATTTCCCCCGCCCCATTCCCAAGCAGTGACACTGAATTTTGCTCCTTCCTTCCCTTTGCAAAGGTGAGTTGAAGTGCTTCCAAGCAAAGTGCTGGCCTCCAGCTGTCTGTTGCCATCATATCTCAAGAGCAACCACTTCTTAAGAAAAATGGTAGAGGAGTGATGGCCACTACTTTGTTCTGAAGCAGTTCCAGCTAAGTAATTTAAATAAAAGCTTTGAAACACGTTTTAAAATTGTAGGTATTAGCAAGGCACTTTTCAGGTGCAGACTAATGTCCTTGGAAACTATTGGCTATTATAATACTACACTTTTATAGTGCTACATCATATGGCATTCTGGAACTTCCAATTTAGGAAGGGGTCTTTGGAAACGTCAGCCAGAGAACTAAACATCCCAGAATTCCACATGTTGCCACTGAAGTTAAAGTATAATAACACTGATAAGACGGAAAGTTGCCACCCCTGCTTTTAAAGGAAAGACATGTCAGAAGATATGAGCGTTGCCTATCAAGGGGATGGCTCAAGAGCATCTAACCAACTCCATTCCACTGAGGCACCTGGTCCAAACAACTCTCAATCTTTGGTCTAATGTGTAACTCTCTGAATAAAAAGGGAGAGCAACATGCAATAAGGTGTGTATAATACAATACTTCAGACATGTAAGCTACCTAAACCTTCACAAAGCGCGTATCTCCATACCTTGGTTTTTCAACTGCAATGTTTCCACAAGGTTTTGCAGACTCTCCATCTTGTTCTGTAGCTTCCTGCATGCCTTTCCATTGGCTTCCCCTGTCTGCATGGCTATGGACATAAACAGTAAATGGTCAGCATTCACATTATGATTCTGCTAGGAAGGTGCACTTTCTTCCCACAACTGATTTGCAAAAATGTAGCAGGATCAAAATTGAGTGGCCTTCACTTCTGGGAAATGAGGAGAAAGCACAGCCTATTCACTCTCAGCTACAAAAAGTAAACAGCTGTGATTTCCTAGCTTTCAGGGAGGCTGCAAGCCAGAAATAGTGTTTGCTTTCCAGATATCGATAAACATTTCACATTTTGCTGTTGGAAATGCTGGCTAGGGCTGATGGGAAATGGACATCAGCAACATTAGGAGAAGTGCAGGTTTTCTACCTGTGCTACAGGAGTTATTGAGATAAAACAAATAATTTTTACATTTGAAAAGAAAGAACCTTCATTGTGTCCTATAAGGGCGACCTACACTGTGGTTGGAAGAGAAGGATGAGTTTTAGCCTTGCTCTTTCCCACCATAAAAGTAATCCCCAAGGATTCAAGTTTTATGCATTGTCGAAGGCTTTCATGGCCGGAATCACTGGGTTGTTGTAGGTTTTTCCGGGCTATATGGCCATGTTCTAAAGGCCATATAGCCCGGAAAAACCTACAACAATCCAGATTCAAGTTTTGTTGCACAGGATACGTTTCCACAAGCCTCTGAGCTCATGTGATTCTTGAAGACGCAAAACTTCTTCTCATAGCAGTAAGAGGTTTTCAACAAAACACTGGAATATGCTGCCTAGTAGTATGGTAAAGATAAAGGTAAAGGTTTCCCGTTGACATTATGTCTAGTTGAGTCTGACTCTGGGGGGTGGTGTGCATCTCCATTTCTAAGCCAAAGAGCCGCCGTTGTTTGTAGACACCTTCTAGGTCATGTGGCCAGCATGACTGCATGGAGCACCGTTACCTTCCAGTTGAAGCAGTATGTATTGATCTACTCACATTTGCATGTTTTTGAACTTATATATATATGTGTGTATGTGTGTGTATGTGTGTGTATGTATGTATGTATGTGCGTATCTATCTATCTATCTATCTATCTATCTATCTATCTATCTATCTATCTCCGTATATACTCAAGTATAAGCCAACCCAAATATAAGCCTAGGCACCTAATTTTACCACAAAAAATTGAGAAAACATATTGACTCGAGTGTAAGCCGAGGGTGGGAAATGCAGCAGCTACTGGTAAATTTCAAAATAAAAATAGATACCAATAACATTACATTAACTGAAGCATCAGTAGGTTAAATGTTTCTGAATATTTACATAAATAAAGATAAAACTGTCCAACTCTGATTAAATCATTATTCGAACCTTCTTCAATGTAAATGTGCTTACGTATCTTTCCAATAATCACCAAAGGTGATTTTGGAGAAAATGCTGTGTGTATATGAATAAGGAAAAGTGGGAAAGACTGGCGCCTTTCTTTCTTTCTTTCTTTCTTTCTTTCTTTCTTTCTTTCAGCCCCACACCTGCTTGCCAGGACCCTCAACCAAATATAAGCTGAGGGTTTTTTTCAGCCTAAAAAAGGGCTGAAAAACTAGACTTATACTTGAGTATATACAGTATATACTGAGTGGATTTATTTTCATTGGAACTCAACCACATCCTGCATGAATTTATAGTCCAGAACAAGGATATACAAAGGCAGAGGAATTAGGTTGCAGGGAAAGTCCTTCCCCAATTGCTTTCTTTGTTTGTCACTCTATTCTCTTTTCCTATTTCTGTTATTAGAGTGATACTTCTCAGGAACACACCTGTTTTTATTCAAAGTTTCTAAGCCACACAGCAAGCCCCCAAATCCACCATTTTGTTCTTTTACTGTGAGCATGGAGAGGGATAAGATGTCTCCAGAGAGATAGCTAGTTGGATAACTAGACCCTACTTTCCTATATTGAAATGTAGTTCTTTCAATAAAGTATTTCGAAACTTTTAAAGCTTAACTCTACACCAATATTGCTGAAGCTTATTCACTCTACTGCTACACTCAAGAAGCTTCTGACCTGCTAAACTGTTGCTGCTGCTCCCCCCACCCCATTTTAACATTATCAAACACTTTCCCCCTTTATTTCAAGATCCAGGGTGACTGTTTACTAGACTAGAATTTAGCAATAAGAACAGATTTGTAAATTCAATTCAGTTTTATGTTTCAAAACAAATCAAAGAAGCAAAATCATACTTACAAGAACCAGTGCTGAAGGAACTATCTGCTTGGAGGAAAAAAATATCACAAACCAATTAGCATTATATCTTTCTGATAGTCAAAAAGACAAACAAATGCATTCATAGCTATTTCATCTATCTGTGGCAATACTATTATATACGTACATCCAATTCTTACACAGAATTCTTACACTTTGATTCCGTTTGGTCACAATAGTCACATGTGTTTTTTGTAGCATAGAAATGAGCATTTTCTGCACTGGAAGCAGTACTCCTGAACTGTGAAGATTCTCATCAGTCCAGGGTTATTATTTTTTCATCCAGGTTTTTTCCCACCATTTTCCAAATATTTTGTAATCCTCTCATGCCTGCTTCTCACATACTTTTACTGGTAGCAGAGGCTGAGGCTTCAGGGGAGCAGCTCTTTTTCAGACTGGATCGACGTTCCAAAGAAGGTGCGGAAGAAGCCTTGAGGTCATCCAGTGGTGCAGTGAGCAAGGAGTAGACAGGAGACCTCGCTTTGTACCTCTCCTCTGGGGACGGTTTCTTTGAAGAGGTGCAACGAGGAGTGGAACTGAAGATTGCTTGAGTAGCTAACACAGGAAAGACAGCACACACAAGTAATTATGATAGTTCAATGAATGGAATAAAAATCTTTAACACATTTAACACAGCTTTGAGGAGCGAATAATAGGAGAACTTAGCTATGAAATTTAATGGTTGTTCCCACTTTTCCAGGGAATATGGGAAATTCCTTTTCCCTTCAGGAAAAGGCTTCAAAACCATGCAGCTATCAAAACCTTGAATAACATCTCCAGGGGATCCCAACATGGAAGAAACAGGGGTGTTGGTCTGAAGGACCTCAAACTCACTGGGCCAGGGAGCTTCAGAAAGGACTGGATAGCAAGGCCGTCCCTAACCCCAGAAAGAACAAGCCCCATCAAAGGCGCCGCTTAGCACACCCTGTTTTGATAGGGCTGGAATCCACCCTTGGCTGCATAATTTTGTTTATGGTCAGCCTGAAACCTAGAAGAGGTGCCACTGCGAGATCTAGAACCTGAATTAAAGACATTATGATAAGGAGGAGCAGATTGTTGCCACCGCGACTTCTGCTGGAAGCTAGGTTGCCAAGGATAACCAAATTGGTGCACTGCTTGGTGCACTTCTTGAGTATGTTTCAGTGGTGGCAGGATTAAAGAAGCCCTCATTGTGCATAGGGAGGTCCTCCGCTAGGGAATGTCCCTCTTCAGAAAGGGTGGAAGCTTGGAGCCAAGCATGGCGGTGGATGGACGTGGCCATAGCAAAAAGTTTCCCTGCTGATTCCGCCAGATGTTTGGCAAAATCTTTTTGTAGCTTGGCAAGAGCAGGAGCCTCTGCCTGTAAAGCCCTAGGAAGATGCTGGTCTTCCAAAGGTAATTGGTCAAGGTAAGGCAGAATTTTGGACCACAAAAATGTTTGATACACACTCATATAAGTTGCATAATGGGCCATATGAGTAAAAAGACCCGCTGAAACATGAACTTTTCCCCCTATAGAGTCAATCTTTTTTCCCTCTTTGTCAACTGGAGTGATTGAAGACACGTTTGGGCCACTTTGGCCACTGCAGTACTTGGTTTGGAGGGATAAGCTGCCCAATCTGCCAAGGTGAGATCAACTTTATACAAAAAAATCTAACCTTTTTGGAATTGCCGAGGCCACGGCCGGAGGGATGTCAGGGACTCTGGCTAACTTGAGAAGGTACGGCAGTGCTGGGAGAGCAGTAAAGGGTGGAGGTTCTTGCTGGTTTGAAGGAAACAAAGGGTTCTCAACAGAAGCAAGAGGCTTAGGAGCAGGAAGATCAAGGGCTGTGATCATACGACCCATTAGGGCCACAAAGTTATTAAAGTCCTCTGCACAAGACGATTCAGGTTCTGGCTCCTTGATGCCTTGGGATGATTTGTTTGCATTATCTGAGGAATCTGAATAATTAATTTCCAGCACCTTTGGGTCAGAAGATCCTGAGTCTGGTAGCGACACACCTGGGCTAGGATGAGGATAAGGTGCACCCAACATGGAGGGGGGCTGGTGCTGTACTCCCTGAGGCTGCACCCCTGTGAGAGGCTGCATTGGGGGTTGCATAAAGCCCGGCTGTGTTGCATTAGTGGCCGCAGCAGGTACTGAGGCCGAAAAGGCTCCTTGTGGGACAATAGGAGGAGCAGAGAAGTTCGGCGGCAACCTCCCACCTTGGGTAGGGATAGAAAAGAGTGCAGTAGGCCCAAAATAGAAGTATTAATCCTGAGGGGTTATTTGCCAGAAACCAGGGTGTGGTAGAAAACTTGCAGCTCTTGGTGTGAATCCCTCCCAGTGGGAGGAGGAAATGGAACAGTGTAAGTGCACATGGGTCCACCTCCGCGCCCTACCGGGAGAGAAGCCCAATGATGAGGCTGATGATGACCTGCTCCTCGATGTCGACCTGTAGCGTAGACGCCGCGAACAATGGGTCCAATGGCGCGAGGAAGGCCGTGTTTGCCGATGACATGCTGAGCTCGGTGAGCCCGACACCAGTGCTAGGAACGGCTCCGATGGTGGGGGCAGGGCTAGAGAGGGAGCCTCCACGAGCTCATCCTGTACCTCTGCAGCAGAGAGGACAGGCAGAGACGGTGCTGAGAGCGCCGGCATCGATGGGGTAGCTGGGGTCTCCTGTGCCTCTACTCCAATCTGCACCTGCACACCCTGCGCAGGCTGCAGCTCCAAATCAAACTGTGGCTGTGCCTCAGCTCCGAATGGAGGGATCCTGCCATCTCCCAGTGCCATGGGACGAATTGCCGATATGGGCTGAGAAGCTGCAGCCAAGCCTGTTCCCATCTTTCTGGATGGCTTAGGCTGATCTGAAGGCTTCCCTTGGCCGTTTGGGCAGTCTTCAGTCTTAGGTATTTTTGCTTTTTTCTTCCCTAAGGAAGTGGAGCCTCCAAGTTAACTTTTAGTTGAAGCCAACGGGGGGAAGACGGCTCGCTCATACAGAGTGACTTTTAGGCGGGATTCCCGTTTTTCCTCATCTGAGGTGTAAAGGCCTGACACACAGAGCAGGACTGGGACACATGCCTGTCTCCCAGAAACAAAAGACACAGGGCATGGAAATCGTTATCTGGAAAGTTAGTAGAACAAGCGCTACAGCGCTTAAACCCAGTAGTGGCAGACATCAGGAAGTAACAACCACGTAATACTTAGGGAATCCAATAGGCAGGAGTGAGGCAGTCCGAGTCAAGCACACTAAAGGGAGTCCGATACGAAGGAGATCCAATAAGAGGCAGAGTAAGAAGGCAGTCCGAAAAGCTAGTCAAGGACGTGAAGATTCTCAGCTGCTGCAGAAGCAGCAGATGAAAAGAACTGAGCTAGTAGCCCCTCCCACTGGCTATATACCATATATATCTGAATATAGGCCGGGTTTTTCAGCCTCTTTTTGGGGCTGAAAAAACCTCCATCAACTTATATTCGAGGCAAGGGGCAATGGAGCCTGGATGCGAGGCTCTAAAGCCGGCTGGTGTTCACCTTAATGGAGCGGCCTGAGGATGACAAGGAGTAGTGGCAGCGGAGCCCACAGGCTAGGCTAAAATGCAGTCACAGCTGCTTCTCGTCCTCCTCCTCCGAGGCTGGCTGGCCATGGGGGAAGAGGAAGGGGTGGACAAGCAGCAGTGGCAGGGGCAGCAGCGGAGCCCCCAGGCAAGGAAGGAGAAGAGGAGAAGGAGGCGAGGAAGGCCTGGGAAAAGCTGAGAGGAAGAAGGCTGCTCCTGCTGGCAAGCAGGTGAGGGAGGGGCTTTAGGAGCCCACCCTCCGTCCTCCACCTCTTCCTCATCTGAAACAGCGGCAGTGGAGACAATAACAACACAATGGTCTGCCTGAAACTGCGCCGCCGCTTTATAACTGAGGAAGAGGAGGAGGATGGTGGATGGGCACCTAAAGTCCCTCCCTCGCTAGCAGAAGCAGTAGCCTTCCTCCTCTTGGCTGCCCGTCCCCTTTCGTCACCTCCTCTTCCTCCAAGATGCCCCGGTGGAAGCAGCAGGCAGGCAGGCAGGCAGGCAGGAGGGAGGGAGAAGGGTAGAGAGACTGTTCCCTTCTTTGCCAACTCTTTCTTGCCTTCCTCCTCCTTTCACTGCAGAAAGGAGGAAAGAAAGAGGCAGAAACAAGTTTTATTTTTGAATTCTCCCATTCCTCTGCATCCTGCTCCCTTCTTCCTCCTCCAACTCCTTCTTTCTTTCCTCCCTCTTCTTTTGCCCCTGCATTTCTGTAGATCCTTCTGCTTTCTTTTTCAACTCCTTCCTTTATGTCTGCTTGCCCCGCTCAGCTGTCTCCGGCAACACGACCACGCATTTAACACACACACACACACACACACTTTCTTATTAACATCCAGACAGGAAGGCAGCTGCCTCTGACACACTCCATGCGAAAGGATGGTGCTTCTGAATGAAGGACCTTCCTTCTCTATCTCCCTTCCCTTCTTTCCTCCCTTTCCTTCCCCTTCCTTTCCTTCTTTCTCTCCTTCCCTTCCTTCCTTTTTCCCTTCCCTCCCCTATTTCCCCTTTTCCTTTCCCCCCTTATTTCTTCTCCTTCCTTTCTTTCTTTCCCTTCCTGTCCCACCTTCCTCCTTTCCTTCCTTTTCTTCATTTCCTTCTTCCCTTCATTGCCTTCCCTCCCTCCTTCCTTCATTCCCTTCCTTCCTTTTCCTTCCTTCCTGTCCCTTTCCTCTCCCTTCCCTTCCTTTTTCCTTCCTTCCTGTCCCTCCTTCTTTTCCTTCTTTTCCTCCCTCCCTCCCTTTCTTCATTTCCTTCTTCCCTTCCTTCCCCTTCCTTTCTTTCCCTCCCTTCCCTCATCCCTTTTCCTCCTTTGTTCCTTTCTTCTCCTTCCTTTCCTTCTTGAGTCTGCATGACGGGAAAGGGGAAAGGAAGGTGGGAAGGGGAAGTGGGAAGGGAATAGGGAAAGGAAGGGAGCTTCTGGTAGTCGTGTTTCTGGCAGCAGCACTCTGGTGGCATGTACTTCGCAGGCAGCACTTCAGCACCAGCTGCTTCGGCAGCTGGCATTTCCGCAGCCACACTTCTGGCATTTCAGCAGTGAGGGAGCAATCAGTGTCTCCTTCCCCACCACCACATGTTTGGAGGGAAAGGAAAAGGAGCAGGGAGGAGAAAGGAAACCTGGGCCCAGTATTTATTTATTTATTTGATTCATTTATTAACCGCCATTCTCAGCCCTTACGGGCGTCTGTTGGAATTAGGACAATGGGTTCATATATCTGTGGAATGGCTGGGGTGGGGCAAAGAGCTCTTCTCTGCTGAAGCTAGGTGAAGGTGGTCAGTTGAAACATTCACACCTAGCTCCAGGAGAGTAAAGCTCTTTGCCCCACCCCAGCCATTCCACAGATATATAAACCCATTGTCCTAATTCCAACAGACCTCACTACCTCTGAGGATGCTTGCCATAGATGCAGGCGAAACGTCAGGAGAAATGCCTCTAGAACATGGCTCTATAGCCCGGAAAAACCCACAAGAACCTAATGTTCCAAATGATTTCCCAGTCCTCTGGAACAAGTTTTTTGGGTATACGGGAACTTGAGGTCATTGATTCAGGGAAAACAACAACAACAGCAAAACTTTATATTATTTAAATCCCGCCCACTCTCCCCAAGGGAACTTGGGGTGGCTTACAACAGAAAAAAAAACCCAATATAAAAACAAATAAACACATGACAATCAGGAAAATTCAATCAACAAAGGTAAAACAAATCAAATACATAGACGATAAATAGCAGTAAAGTTGAGAATAAACTCACAAATATTACTCATAAATGTACAAAACTAAATAATAATAATAAACACATGTATCACATTAAAAATATTATAAACTTGCTCACTGTTGATGTAAGCATTAAAACCAATTAAAATGTTGTGGGGTCCAGGCCACTTGTTTCAAGACCCAAACTTAATTCATACTGCCATTGGATCAAACACTGTTTAGTGCAACCAGTGGAAACTTACTGCTGGAGGGAAGAGAGAGAGTTGGATCTTCAAGGTCTGCAGCATGCAACGTTGAAGGCTCCCTATGCACAAAAAAAGGATAGCTGCTATCTACTGTTCAACAGCCAAGGAAAATACCAAAACTCTAATGTTCCTTCATATTATAGGATTAACTACTTTGTAGCTCAGTGACTGTGCATTCAGTCCATCCATAAAAGCAAGGTATTTATTGAAATGCAAAGGATCTTATTTCATAAGTGGCTTCTGTTAACAGGTACGGGAAAAGCTAATACTCAAGGAAATAGCTTTGGCACATGTTAAGAGACCAAAGCTATATCTATCGTGTACATGTAATGCAGCTTAATGCTATTTGAACTGCGAAGACTCCATGTAATGGAATCCCAGGAGTTATAGTTTGTTGGGGCTCCAGTACTGTTTGGCAGAGAAGGCTAAAGACCTTGCAAAACTACAACTCTCATGACTCCATAGCACTGAACTATGTCTGTTAAAGTTGTGTCAAGCTGCATTAATTCTACAGTATAGATGGATCTTAATACATAAATTGCCGCAATAAATTGCTTAGACTAAATACCACTTTCTCAGGATGGACTCTAGAGAAGTTCTAAAGTCTAGACCCTAATTGAGGAAGGAATATTCTCGAAAGAGCTGATTAAATCTATAATATGCAACATATGCGTTCTCATATACTGTATCAACACCATCATCATTAATTGTGTTGTCAAAGGCTTTCATGGCCAGAATCACTGGGTTGCTGTGAATTTTTCAGGCTGTACGGCCATGTTCCAGCAGCATTCTCTCCTGACGTTTCACCTGCATCGGTGGCAAGCATCCTCACAGGTTTGTTCAGAGGTCTGTTGGAAATGAGGCGAGTGTGTGTGTGTCTGTTTATCTGTCTGTGGAATGTCCAGAGTGGAAGAAAGGCCCCTTGTCTGTTTGAAGCAAGTGTGAATGTTGCAATTAACAAGCTTGATTAGTATAGAGTAGCCTTGCAGCTACTCTATGCTAATCAGTGAGGGTATTTGCACAGAGAAAGCCTGGCTGTTGCTGCCTAGAGACATCCTTTGGAAGGGGTTATCTGGCACTTGATGGTTTGCTGTCAGGAAGTGTCAAGACAGACAGACAGACAGACAGACAGAAGACTTTGGGAAGATTAAGTTGCCCTTCCTAAAATCTTGAACTTCAAAGCAAGATAAGGAGTCACTGTTGCTCCTGCTGGCTCAAAGTATTTACTCTTTGTGAACAAACAAGCCTCTAAATGTGTAATGCCAGGAGCTTCAGATAAAAGACATTTACGACAATCGGATCCCCTGAAGATGCCAGCAACAGATGCAGGCAAAACGTCAGGAGAAAATGCTGTTAGAACACAGCCATACAGATCACACAACACCCCAAAAACATTGTTTCTCACCTGCTGAAAGCATCTTGCCCCCTGGTAACATCTGTGGGTATGTCTCTGACAGCGGCTTCCCTGCATTGAGAGAAAGGCAATAATTACAATAACCAAGATATCACTATCTCAGCCATCCATGTGGACAATTTTGGAATATTCTGGAATTCCAAATAAGTGTTGTTCAATGTATACTATAAATGTGAAAAATTCATCTCGTTGCTCTTTTTCCTATCTGCCCCACAGTACTTTGGATCTTCAAAGGATCTGCAGCACTGAGGTGTCTTACCTGCTGTAGAGTTCACGTATTCTTCTGCCAATGCATTCTCTGTTTGAAACGTCTCTGCATAGGGGGGAAATGAAATTTGTACTTGAGGTAATCGTTAACATGTTTAGACAGATAAATACATTTCTGTTGTTCTCCCCTGAAGGTATATTCCTATTATTTAAAACATCCTTACAATATATTGATGGCGCCTTCTGTAATGGAGTCAGTATCACTGTCACTTTCTCTTCTAGGCAGATTTGCAGAGGGCATTTCCTCAACCACGCTTCGCAATTCTTGAAGAACTTGCTTTAAATCTCGTAATGGATTTTCCGTTGTCAAAACAGATTGGGATGCTAGCTAAATGGAAATACAGATTGAAAAAACATGGAATAATTTATTTGTAGGATGAAATACACTCAAATAAGTGAACTTTTATTTTTCTTAAGAGAAAAACTACTAAAAATAGGGCCTGTTTCATTTCGTATTTTCTGAAATGGAGAAAACGGATCAAACAAGCTGGGTTTTAGTAACAAGATGGAGTGTGAGGAGCAAGGAAGGACATAAATAAATACATAGTATCAGAATCTATATTTTGGGGTTGTTGCCACAATCAGTTAAAATACTTCCCAAAAATGTATCTTATTATGGCATTTGCCCTTCAATCAGGGAGGGCGACTAAAATGATCAAGGGTCTGGAGAACAAGCCCTATGAGGAGCGGCTTAAGGAGCTGGGCATGTTTAGCCTGAAGAAGAGAAGGCTGAGAGGAGATATGATAGCCATGTATAAATATGTGAGAGGAAGCCACAGGGAGGAGGGAGCAAGCTTGTTTTCTGCTTCCCTGGAAACTAGGACGCGGAACAATGGCTTCAAACTACAAGAGAGGAGATTCCATCTGAACATGAGGAAGAACTTCCTGACTGTGAGAGCCGTTCAGCAGTGGAACTCTCTGCCCCGGAGTGTGGTGGAGGCTCCTTCTTTGGAAGCTTTTAAACAGAGGCTGGATGGCCATCTGTCGGGTGATTTGAATGCAATATTCCTGCTTCTTGACAGGGGGTTGGACTGGATGGCCCATGAGGTCTCTTCCAATTCTTTGATTCTATGATGGACAGATATATTTATTTATTTATTATGTCAGAAGCAAACTGAAACTACAAACAAAGTTAAAAACTTGGCATTATGCTAAATGTCCTTTGACCAGAAGCTGGCCTCTTCAAGTGCTTCTGGTATCACTGCAAGAAGGTGCGTGTGGCAGGGCTCAGACTGCATTGTAATAAATGGCCTGTGGTTTGCCCTTCACCACACTCGCATGTTGTGGACTCCACTTTGAAGCCCTATTTCTTAAGGTTAGCTGTACATCTCATGGTCCAAGAGCACAGTCTGTTCCGCGCCTTCCAAGTCACTTCAATGTGTCCAGGGGGGAGTTGCTCATCTAGTGTCAGCCACTGATTGAGGTTCCGGATTTTCGCCTGCCACTTTTGGACTCTCTCTTGCTGAGGTATTCTTGCGAGTATCTCTATAGATCGTTGAAAGCTGTTTCTTGATTTAAGGCGTTGGCATACTGGCTGATATCTGAACAGAGGATGGGCCAGAGATGTTAATGCCTTGGTTCTTTCATTGCTGGCTGCTAACTTACCTGGGAATATCAGGTGGTACAATACTGGCTAAACAGTATAATTTCTCCAGTGGTGTGGAGCGTAGACATCCTAAGATAATGCAGCATGTCTCATTAAGAGCCACATCCATTGTTTTAACATGGTGAGATTTATTCCATACTGGGCATGTGTATTAAGCAGCATAGTAGCAAAGCGCAAGGGCAAATGTCTTCACTGTGTCTAGTTGTGATTCCCAGGCTGTGCTAGTCAGCTTTCGTATGATGTTATTTCTAGCACCCACTTTTTTCTTGATAGTCAAGCAGTGCTTCTTGTAAGTCCAGAGTGATTCCCAGGTATTTTGGTGTGCTGCAATGCTCCAGTGGGATTCCTTCCCAGACCTCAAGATGCTTGTTTGTTCTCAAGATGAAAAGCACATGTCTGTGTTTTAGATGGAGTAGGAATCAGCTGGTTTTCCCTGTAATAGGCAGTAAGAGCACCTAAAGCTTTGGAGAGCTTCCATTCAACCATTTCAAAGCTCCCTGCTTGAGTGGTCATGGCACGATCATAGATGAAACTTTCTGTCACTTCTGGCAGTGGCTGATCATTTGGGTAAACGTTAAACATTGATGGAGCAAGCGCACAAGGGCTGAACCTGACTCAGCACATAGAAGATGGTTTTGAAAGACAGCAGATTACAGGAGCTGTCTTCACAGATCCGTCATCAATTTATGATACTGTAAATCAGTGGTTCTCAACCTTGGGTCCCCAGATGTTTTTG